TCAATTTTCACTATATCAAATATTAAATGAAATTATTTTCTTTAAGAAAATAATATTATATATAGAAATCGTAATCCAATAGAAATCATATATTATCATTTCAAATAATAGTAGTATTATTAGTAATGAAATAATTTTCAAGAATAGTCTTAAGAGATTATAATTTTTATATCTTTAAATATGATTCTAAAATTCGTAAAAACAATTGATTCTAATATTCTAGATCTCATCTTGTTTTTCCATATGATCGGATTCAAGTATGCCGCACGAAAAAGACGTTATATTATTCAATTAAAAATAGCTTGTCTGCACCATCTCCGGCTCTAGGCACGACCACCCTTTCGAACAACTCTAACTCCAGGCAATCTGTATTTACATATATAAACACAAAAATATCCGAGAGGAGGGTTGCTTTTTACTCTTTTTTGTGGATTGCAGCAAAAAATTGGCACACTGAGTTTGTGGCTATTGGCTCTCCATCCCTACGCTCTTCGAAACCGTCTTCGGAGCTGTCATCTGCATCTCCACAAACTCGATTTGAACCTCATCAAGGATATGCCGACATGCCAGACTCGCGGTAGCCATTCAAATGCGCATGACAATTTGCAGCCAGAATGCGTTGGGGAATCTTGTCCGCCACTGAACCAACAGCGAGATGATGCTGAAGGAGGGGATCTGGGCGCGAAATAGCGGAAGCAACTTGAGTGTAAGCTGCATGGATTTTGTCGGCTGGATTCGATAGATGTGCCGTCGTGCGCCTTACCGCATCTTTTCTCATACCTCCAGTCCCCATGGGTCATACGTGAAATTTGGGGATGAAAGGAATGGAATGATTGTGCCAGGACTGGGGGGCCACCCAGAATCACCCACGCGCACATGAACCGTCACATAGCCGTAAAGACACGCGCACACAAACATAATCACACATTCACCTACACCCTGCCACATGCCTTTCATGGGCGTCTAAGCTGCTCAATGTATGACAGAGGACTGCCACGGTCACATCACCAAGCAAGCTGGTGTTTTGACAGTGCTTCCTAGACTCTCGTATTTATTTCTGCGAACGCGTGCACGCGCTGTGGTGGGCCTGCGACAAGAACATCCGCAAATAGCCACACACCGCCTGTCAGATCGGACCCGTCCATCGAGCTATCTACATTGCAGAACTGCCAGGCCTTGCAATCTTCACTAGACTGCGGGTTCACAAGCAAGCTCCTGTACACATGAACGCCTGAGGCCGACGGCATGCGAAACATGCTGCCATGTCCAGGTGAAAAGCCAGCCATCTCATACTTTGTGCCCGGCTGGCTTCTCCCAAAGCGACAAGCACCGCCTGTAACCGCAGTCACTCTGCCTTCGACAGGAAAGTCTCGGAAACACCATCGGCCTCGCTCGCTGCAGTACCCCCGAAAAGATCCGGCACAAGCAGGTCGGTCGCCTGCGGAGCCCAACGAATAAGCCCAAAAAAGATACTGTTCGACAGTGTGGTGAAAAGCTTCTGCGGGCCTCGATGTACGACTCAGAGTTATCCTGACATCAAAACCCTACCAGCCCCTCACCGACATGAGAAGCTTGCGCAAACGTGAGCATGTCAGAGGACGCCACCGCTCCCTCGCCGAAAGCTCGCACGCAGAACTCAGAAATTTGCACCTCGAAGGCTGAGCGGCTCTCATGCTGTGATGCTGCTCAAAGTAGCACGTCAGCCAGCCTGCTGGTGCACGTTCTCTGCCTCGGCACAGGAACGGTGCCATTGCTCAGGTGAAAACACACTGACAAGTGCCTGAATCTCGAAGCCCACACAGTCTGGCAAGCCTCGCATGTGAACCTCACAGCAGATTCTACTACAAAGCATGCGAAGATGTGGAGACGTGGCAGCTCAAACTGGAGCCCTCCAACAGTCGCAAGGCAATGATGTACTAGGTAGTAGCCTCAAGTTTAGAAGCAGAAGCTATCAAATTGAAATGTCAACCCCATTGACGATGGTTTACCATGTACATGAACGGGCCTGATACTGCGTGGCTTTCAACTCAACACTTGACGCTGCATTGCCATGGCGCCTCCTTCAAGCATCGCGATACAAAGCTCCAGTTCGGCCTCAGCTCAGCTGAAGCTAAGAATAAGAATAACAGCAACAATAATAATCATCGTGATAATAAAGAAAATAACAATCATAATAGTTGTAGTAACAGTATGTGTAAGTCGTAGTAATAGTACTTCTTCTAGTACTAGTAATTGTAATCGTAATCGTAAAGAGAATAGTTATTACAGTAGTGAATGTAAGTGCTAAACATTAGATAGTAAATTCGTTAATCGTTAAAAGGTAAAAGTTAGTGGTTAATAATTAAGAGTAAAGAGAAGAAGAAGTAGTAGTAGTAGTAGTAGTAGCAGTGGTGGTGGTGGTGGTATGCAGTAGTGGTAGGAGTAACAATTTAGTAAAAATAAGTAACAATGGTAGTAATAACAATAATAGTAACTGGTCATGGGGTCATGGGTCACTTAGTGTCTCTTGCATGCCACCTGATGCCACGAGTCCCAGGCGTTGTAAATCCAAGATCTGCAAGGATGGTCCTTGCATGGAGGCAACGGAAAAGGGCATGCCTCTACTTCCCTCTGCCTCGTCTCTTCGGCAAGCATCGTGGTGTTTGGTTTGGGCTTCGACTCATCTTTCGGCGCGTCCCCCCAGTTGTGTGCTGCTGCGCGCTGTCGCCTTGTCGCGCGCTGGTCCGCCTTGCCCCTGCCGCTCCCAAAGGATGGCTTCCCGCAAAAGCGCAGGAGATGCATGCAAAATTCACCGGACACAAGCGACGGATTTTTGGTCCCCCCCATCATTCTGTCCCGATTCAGGGCTTGGGCCCCGCTTTTATTTAGGGCTTGGTGTGGCGGGCCTATAGCGTTTAGGTCCAGTCATGTTTCAGAAACTCTAAGGCAGAACTGGGGCTTGGGCTCGGTGGCAAAGACCTTCAAATCAGCCATGCCGATGCTCTGCAACGGGGGGAGAGCGTCCTTCAAGTCGACAGAGCGTGAAAGCTCAAAGGCCGAAGAAGCTTGTTCTGAGTGCGACCACGGAATTCATCACGTCATGGAGGGAATCAAAATCCCTCGGCACGGACTGTCTTGCAGTGTACATCTTCATCAGTGGAAAAATCTACACATCCTGGCCGGGGATCTAGCGGAAACAATTTGTTAAAGCCTTCCACGGCCATTGATAGCCGTTCCTTCAAGTGCTTTTCCAGACCGGCTTGGTTCTCGGTGTGGTGGCCTCGGTGCGGCAAACGTCGGAAAAGGAAATTGTACCTCATGTGCTCAGATTTGAGACGGAAGCCAATCTTGTAGCACTCAACCAGCCGGGCCAAGCCCTCCGAGGCTTGCAGGTCGGGACTTCTCAGATTTGCAAAACCCGAGGGTTTAGGGTTAGGGTGCAGGTCACTGACACTTCCCCGCCTTCAGGGAAAACTCGTTGACCCTTGCCACTGCTGCAGCCTGGGAGTAAGTTTTCGGAACAGTCCCGCACTCATGGGACCTAATGATCCCTAAATCAGCTGCCCCGAGGTGGGCACCAAGATGGCCTGCAAGCGCCCGAGCTGCAAGATTTCAGAATCGGCTCAGGGCCCAGAGTACCCTGTTGACCTGGCCTTTCTGAGCTCGGCATGGCTTACCAACAGCGTGTTGTACCTGCTCAGCTCGCCATCGTGAAAACGGCACTTCTACGATTCAATCAAAACAGACATGCACACCTATGCTGCTCGACTTGCCCGTAAAAGAAGTGCAGCTTGCGGCCACGGTCGAGGATGCAACTCGACCGTGAGCCCGAAACAACTCCACATTCGGGTTGTGGCCAGGTCTGAAAAATTAAAACAGCCTCGCTCTGCCAGGCGCACGCCCAAGCGCAGCGCCACAGGGCGAGTGGCTTCAGATCCGAAATGCCCTGGATGATGTGAGGCCTAGGGCGGAATTGCCACGTAGAAGCAATGCTGATACCCACGACCTGACGTAGGCGGCCCACGCCACAGACTCCATGAAGCCTTTGTGTCGATACTGGACCTTCAAGTCATCACATTACGTGGAATCTCCAGCATGGTGTCCGACTCAGCCGCCCACCATTGCAAAGCCCCATACGATCTGCACCAGACCTGGCAAAGAAAAAATGCGCTCCCTTTGACGTGACGTTCTGCATTCCGTCCACACGGCACCTTGGGCAGTGAAGCCGGCCTTGTTGTTCCTTGTGTTGAACCCAGCATCCCCACAGGTCCCACAGCCCGTGATTTCTGTCTGGGAGATGCCGCAAGGCTCCGACTCAAAACACATGGTCACCTTCTCGCACAAGTCTGATTGCCTGAACGTCACATAACGGCTAAAAACTGAGATGAACTTCAGCTAAATATGATAAAATATGCTAGATGCGTCTCGCCTCATCCCAAGCGCCCCAAAGGCCCAAGTCACGTGGGCCAGCTGGGGAGGGGTGAACTTTTCAGCCCTCTTGGCAACCTGCCGATGCGGACTGATGTCGAGTTGAGACCTACATGTGCTGCTTTTGGCCTTCGAGCCAATCTCCGACATCAGACCAAAATGTTGCCTTCGTATTGCGCCCGTCAGCAACCCAAGGGTGAAAGGTTGGAGATGGAGGTAAGCTCACACATCTCAGGGCGGCGCTGCCCAGTGACGGCAAAGGCCCAGGTGAGCATCGTGATCTCTGCGGCCTTGAAGCCTGGAGAACTTCCACGTGATTCCACGCACCCCGCGGGTCTCAAATCGCTGCAAACGTCCGTGTCTGAGCCCATGTACTGCCAATCTGCGGCTCGGCCTGCTCTGCAATGAACCTGCTTGAAGCGTCTAAAAGTCAGTTTACTCCTTCCTCCATCCCAACTTTTCTCAATCACCGAAAAGAAGAGGAAGAAAGAGAGAAGTACCAGAGAGCAGCGGCCCCTTCATCAGTGTCAACCCAGGCATTACAGAAAAATGCGCATCGTTGCATGCATTATCATGCACTGCAGAATTCTGCAGGGTATTCAAAGCATTCTTTGGATGGAGAAGAACGTCCAACCGCGCAGACAGGCGCCGACTTACACTTTGTTCATCGAGTGTTTCTGCCTTGGAACCTCAACTCGCAAGTGACTGCATGTGACTGCTTCTCAGAAACTGCCGGCGGAAAGCTCGGAGGGCGAGGAGTTGGGAGCACGAGAGCGAGCAATGCTAAGTCCAACTAGAAGTGACGGCCACATCAAGAAGCAAGCACGCCTCATCACTGAATCGGTTCCCATCTGGTTCTTCGCAAATGCCCAAGCCTTCAATGCAAGAAGGATGAATAAGGCGGGAAAGAGGCCGCAGTGCACTGGCACAAGCACATCCAAAGCTGAGGGAGTGTCTATGTTGGCAATCTCCGCGGGTTCCATGGAGGCCGGGCCTGCCGAATTCCTGCAAACCGCGTGCTATTCGCTATTTATCGCATCTCCACTGCTTCGCAGTCCGATCGTCCTCTGCACTTGCTGAGAGATGGCCAAGTAAAGGCCTCTGTCCTCCCAAAGCCAAGAGAGAATGGCAGAGACGCAGAAGACGTGTCTTGGCTTGGGAATGAAGCATGACACACCCGAAACTCCTGGACTCTCAGGTTGGCAAACGCCCAAGCGAGGTGTGCCAACTCCTCGCAGCCGTCAGCTCTGTTGCGTTTCGTGAAGCTGTAGAGGTGCACACTTCTGCGTAAGGCAAGTACGGGATTGGTGAAGTTGCCGATCTGGTTGATCGACCTTTGGAGAGACTGCCACCGATGTGCTAAAGGGCAGCTATGACATTCTCAGTGCATTAGGGCCATGGCTCAGCCATGATCGCATTCAGCAGCGGATCCTGAGAGGGAACTCTTGCACGGGTGCCACATTCAACAATTTCAGTGATGTCTGAGCACTCCACGTATTTGAAACTCAGCGTCCTCAGCTTTGGTCTACACGCAAGCACAGACTGGCAGTGTGCAAAATTCATGCCTACATGCCCAGCTGTCACCGAAGCTCGAAAACGCCCACGAGACCATGGACATCTGGGCAGGCTCAAAGTTGTCTCTTTGCCTGCGAATCACTCGCTCCGAACACCCCATGACTCCATCCTCTCCAAGATCAGCCGCCTGTACAGCGTCTGGGCAATCGCCTTCAGGAGCGGCTCCTGCCCGCTATCCACGGCTTGGCTTCGCCATGGGCCGCATACTGCAAAGCTTCCAGAGTCTCTACACTTCCTCTGTGTGGCTCACGTGTCCTCTCGAGTGCCCCACTGTGCCATGGCCCACGAGATGCTTGCCCTGCCCATCCAAAGGTGAACCGGCACTCCTTCAACACCCGCAGCAAAAGCTGAGCTTCGAAGCAGGCTCTGTGTGCTGAAGGTCTCCATCTTTTCCTGCTCAACACGTGACCAGTCATCCGTATGTCAAGGCTCGCACTACGGCAATCGGACAACATGAAACATGCAAGCACGCACGGCGGTCCATGCACTCGCGGGCTAGACACTGAGCGAGCTGAGCATTCCACCTCAGCTGTAGAAGCAGAAAGACTTTCACTTTTGCAGAGCTCGAAGCTTTCCTGTTGAAAAGAAGCATTGAAAACAGAGCCGGCAAGACGACTTCGGTTGTTTCCGCTATCTTATCTGATGATGTGACCATGGCTTGCCAACTTGGTGAAAACGCTTCATGCTTGCTGAAGAGCTCGCCGAAGCATCCGCTTCGGCTCACCCAAGATCCGACGTTTTTTTACTGCGGCTCCTAAAGATACCCTAGCCAAAAACCCTCTTTTTCAAGCAGCATCCGCGTGGGCGACAATATTCGACAAAAGCAGTCCCCCTCCAAAGTTACTCAATCTTGGCTCTGTGGCGGACTCGCTTTTGGGATTCGGTCCCTGTCGAGATTGCCTGTAGTTAGGGCACCAAAGCCTGGCTGATTTGCAAAAAGCATTGAGGGAATCAGAGATGCCACGACGACACCTCAGGCAGAGCCTTGCCATGCCACTCCGGCCGGGGCCCTCGCAGTCCACACTTTGCAAAAGCCCAAGCAGTGTTGGAGAGCTCCTCGTGGTTGAAGCCTTGGCAGAAAGCAGATTCGGGGCTTCCTTTGTAGCACCGTGCTGATGTTGGCGCATGGTGCCCCAGCATGCAAGGCGAGATTGCATGCGCGCCCTTTCTTCTGAGGAGTTGATGCACCTGGGAATCAGGAGCGGGGCATGCTTCGCGATGACAAAGCTGCTGTTTACAGCAGCCAGCGTGTGAAACCTGAAAACCTACAGATCTAAAAATGGGACCAGCCAGAAGCCGAGGCCTTGCTCACCGGGCCAAGAATGACACTAAGTCAGTAAGTGCTCACACACTTACATCATCACTTTGGAGCAGCGGAAACAAGGTGGCTTCTTGGGCATGCTACTTCCCTGCATTAGCCGGCACGGCGATGAGGCCATGCCCACGATCTACAAAGGTTGTACTACAGAGAGAGGGCGGCTTTAGCTCCTCCGCGCACAACGCGTCCATGCCAGAGTGAGAATTCGTTAGGGTGTTCTACGCAGTCACCTTTTTAGTGGTCGAGACTATCTTGGCTTTCGCACATGGAGCTTGCTGGCCTGAGCTAGCACACAAGCCCATGCAGATCTCCACTCCCCAAAACTATTGTAAGTCAAAATCTGAATCGAAGCTAAGCTAGCTGCAGCAGCATGCCTGGGCTTTCGCGAAGGCAGGAACCGACAAGCGGTGCAGCGTTTGACATCATATTCGCTGGAACTACGACCATTGCACGCCTGTAGTGCCACTAAGAGATATCCAATTCTCTTGCATCCTGGATACAGTTGGCTTCCGTGGGGCTTGTTGCTCGGCGTCGATCCGGCAGGAGACCCTCCACGGCCAATGTTGGAACCAAGTGCCTCAAGTTGAGAACATGAGCGGTAGACACTCCAGAATGAGCCAGCCATGGCTTCCAAGTTCTCCAAGTCCACGGCAGGACGCTGGCCAAGCCGAGGTAGCAACGGACCTCGCAAAGGCCATCAGGCAGCTGTGAACACCTGTTTCACCTATACTTCCTAAAATGAACGCTTGCAGAAATGTTTGGGTTAGGCACGATGTGCGTCGAGAGGCCTCAGACGATCTCCGACACATGGACAGTTCCGACCCTGACAGGATCGCACCTGCACGACTACAAGTTGAACAAGGCTGCAACGCTTGCCGAGCCGGGTTTGTAGACCGGCTCAGGAAGCCTGCGCATCTGCACATGCTCAGGTAGGCAACGCTTGCACGTATTTGCCAAAGGTTTCGGCCTGGTGACCGGCTCTCCCGGGTGTCATCTACGTTCGTCAGCACACTCGTCCTCCGCTAGAGACGCGCCCCTCCCAACTCCCAACTTCATTTGCTGACCTTAAACACTTAGCTCAGAGCGGCAGCCATGCCAGCACACCTGAAAGCTGAGCTTCTCCACAGTCTGACATTCTGCGAAGTTGCGCACCGGCCTATTGGCGGCGGAAACCGTACGGAAGACGTCCCATCAGAAGGATCATCTTTTGCAACAATCCCCTGGTCGGGCGACTGCGAAGCTTCCTTTCAACGAACCATCCAAGGCTATGGCATACCGCTGCCTCTTGACCGGCCAGCGTTCTCAACCGATCATCCCACTGGAGGGCGGGGTGTTGCTCCACAGCTCGCTGCAGTGCACGAAGCTCTGGCCTCGAAAACGTCAAATGGTCTGATCGTGGGAAAAGTGGAAAGCTGTCCGCTTTATCAGCTGTCGTCTGGGGCTTCAGCACCCGAACTTGTCGTCCGTCCTTCCCGTCCTGGCCGAGACTTGGCAACCAGCTTCTCGTAACAGCACACTGCAAAGCACCTCTGCATCCGTCCCCGCCGGGGATCCGATCATACCTCAAGAAGTTGGACAGCAGCTTCGTGCAGTCAAACTTAAAACCGAGCTCGAGTTAAGGCTTGCCAAGCAGATCTACAAACGTACTCATACTGGTACGTCCATGCATGCTCTCACCCCACGAAATTAGTGCTGAAACACCTGTGATAACATGGATGCTCACTCCAACAAATTAAATAGACACACCAAAACAATAAAACTAACACCGGCACGCTCACGTATGGGTCGATAGCTTTTGAGTGCTTGAAACAACTTGGAGGCATATGGAGGAAAACGTTACAAACAAAATCACGCAGTTTCAGAGTTCGGGATTGTGAACAGCCCCTGTACGCACGAAACAGACGTCTTGAGGGAAAACAGTTGAAAACCCTTTACTAGCAAGGCGACAGCTTCCGTGCATACGCAAGCACGTGTAGCGAAAGAGTCAGAAGACTTGACACACCTGGTTTCTTCGGAAGCCCGGCTTCCGCGTACAGTAGTGCATACTCAGGTACCGGGCCAACATCAGACCAACAGCAGCCCAGAAAGAACAATAATTAGGTACTTAGCTTGCCAACCCGTCTCAGCCTCCCTTCCTCAAGGGGCTCGCCCTCTGCGCAACGATGCTACACAACGACAAAAACTGAACCAATTCGTCGAGTGTCTGCCCACGAGAAGGCTGGGATCTTGCCCGCCGAATCGCGACATCAGCATCCCTGTCAGAAGTCAGCATGGCTCTCAGAAGTTGATGTGCATGTCTGGCAGTTGCGCCAAGAGGCTCATTAGCATCGCATCCGGATCAGCTCCGTCACCTTGGCCAGGCAAACCGCCAGTCTTCGTCAGCGGCTTGTAGGCTCACAGATCATTGACAATGACAAACCTATGGTCTGCGCGTGCCGCAGCTTATGATTGCAGGCATCTTGTCGCAAGACACTTCTCAGAGCAGCCTTTTTCGTGTGGGCATCTTACAATTGGCACCAAGACAAAAACAGGGGGGAGCGAGTCAAACGCTAATGGATAGCTGCTCCCTCTGGCGGATTGACATATGTTTTGTCGGCAAGATTTCGATTCGTTCGGCCCAAGTCCAATTTGCCAGTACTGAGATCAGGAAGATGGGAGTGCCCGAAAGAGTCTCACGTGAGTAGAAGAACGCATGCCAAAAAAATCCAAGCTAGGGGGTAGCTCCAGCTGAGCTCGGCGCCGTCTTCTTCGCTGTTCTGCAAGTCTGGAAGCTTCTGCTCCCAGGATCTCCACCAGGCCGCTCTCTCCTAAGCCAAGCGGGGTTCTACATTCCTCCGTAAAAGAAGATCTCTCAACTTAGGAGGCCACGGGACTTCCCTTGGTGCCTGCAGGAGATCCGAGCTTCATCTTCTCCTCTTTCAAAGCCTCCAGCCTGCAGCGTTTCGCGTTCTTTTTGTGCCCCCGGCTCCCGGCTTCTCATCCGAGACCCCGGGCTTGGCTCCGCCCACCTCCGAAAGACCAAGCATTGCCAAGCACTGCAGGTTTGGTGTTTCAGAACTGTGTGGAACAGCACGCAAACAAGCAAGCAAGCGTCTCTCTGCCTCTGGTTTGCTTAGCTCCTGCTGTGGCAGAACTGCGGCACTGCAAGGTGTAAGGTGTGGCAATGCATTCGCTCGCTGAACACAGGATGTCCTCAAGCAGTGCTTCGTACCTCATCTCCGCTGCTTGCGCCAGCGTCAGGCCGGCCTGCCAACATGGATGACGGATGATGACGGCGTAGCAGACAAGCTGACTGCAAGATGAAACAAAGCATTGCTAGCCTTTTTGGCCATGGCTTCATAGGCCTCCATAAAGCCTGCTCAACAGGAGTATGATCCAACATTCTCGCATGACTGTGCTTGTTTCTGTGTCACACTTGCCGAGCATCATCTTGCGTTCCTTGTGCTTCTTGAGCTGCTTCAGGGTTTTGATGGAAACTTGGCCACTCGAGTTCTGTGGACCAGCCTTTGTGATGTGGGCGATAAATGGGCCCGGGATGAAAGGCCTGGGATGCCGGAGGTCCAGCCATGCGACATTGTTGTTCACTCGCTGCGTAGGTGTCCGGCAGTTTGGTCCCGATTGTTGTCGGAACCTTGGCCATTCAATGCTGTCTCGAATGGCGAAGCAACGCAGTGGACAGCCAGGCCTTTGAGCAGGACACACATGCACCTTCAGTTCGGAGCTCGCAGGAACTGGGCAGCAGGCGGCTTTGTGGAAACATGCTGAGATGGCAGCGATAGGTTGTCTTTGGAATTCGACTCCAAAGCTTTGACGCAAACCGCTTCTGCAACTTTTCCTTCACGCACTGCTCAGTGACTCTACTGCCAGGTTCAACGCAGGTCCTGGTCAAACGAAATTTGCCCTATCCTGGATCGTCTTTGCCCCGCAGAGTTGCAGCCTCGAGCAAGCTGCACATGATCGGTGGACAAGAGAGGAAGCGTGCCAATGCCCAGCCAAGCAGCAGCATGCCTGATGACCTGCAGTCGCAAACAAAGGAAGCTTCGAGAGACAGGCAAAACTGGCATCTTGATGCATCTTGCACGAGTTCCGGCCCAGCGGCATCAGGGTTCGGGAAGTCTCCCTCCGAAATCCCGTCACAAACCAGCAGGAGAAAGTGGGAATCCTCGAATCGAAGCGTCAGCTGGCTGCCATGCATTCACCCAAGAGAAACAGGTGCACCCCAGCGGCATCGCAATCAAAGCGACCGAACTCAGGATTGCAGGTCACCTCAAGCGAATCTTGGAGTGAGAGGCATAGCGACCAAAACTTCTGTTCCACGCGGCTGGTCGATCTTCAGGACCTGGGCCTCCTGTGTCCGCAAGAAATGAGCTGCAAACGGCCAAACGCCCTTTTGTCAGTCCTGTCTTCTTGAATTCAGCGTCCCCGAATCCGCGGGAAACCGCCAGTTCACCGTTCACCCGCGCAACGCCACCGGCTGCCTGCAAGGCAATGCAAGAAGGAAGCTGCGCCTCGCCCATTTCACGCTGACAAGCTCCCACACCTTCTCCACAGTGCCACCACAGCCTTACTCTCCAAAAAACCGAAGTATTCACGAGATCGCTTGCATCCCTCCCTCGAATGTCGTCACGAATCTCCCATTCTAAGCAACTGACGATAGATTCGCTGGCGCTCGGCAGGGTGGCAAGGCTTGTGGTCGGTGGTCAGGCCTCAGCAACACTAGTCGGACAAAGAGCAAAACAAACCTTCTCGACACCAGCTAGATGCACACATGCGATGCACTGCATCACGGGCATGACGGGCCTTGGTCAGTTCCTCCACCGTCTACTATTCTGCCATCTCGCCGGCCGAGAAGGATGCGACTATCACCTGGCCCATCTGGGGGAGTGCCGGACTCAACAAACCTTTAGAGAGCTCGTGCCGAGGCATGCGCCAGCGTTGGCAACTCGGATCTGGCACTTGCCACCGATTCCCTTCTGCACGATGCACATCGTTGCAGTCGACCTGACCCACTCCCACATGCTACGAACAAGTCACCGCATCGACTTCAGCCTGACTTTAGCGAACCAAAAAGCGAAGTGGATCAGCGGCTGGGCCGATGTCCAGGACGCGAAGACTACGCCATGCCATGCACTCTCTCTCCCTCTGGTCCCGCCCGCTGCGCAATTGGAACGAGGTCTACAAGCCGAGCATCCGACCCGCTGGCCTGGCACTTCTCGGAGCTTTCTCGCTCTCTCTCGCTCTCTCTCTCTGTGTCGCTTTCAAGCGGCGAGTGGCTCCGTGGGTGCGGTTCTGATCAATCGGGCGGCACACCTTCCCTGTGGCGAGGAAAGCTGCGTCGATGTCGAACACCATCTGTCGGAATGCCTCATCACTCAGTATCGCGGCCCCTGAGTGCTACCTCTAGAGTAACTGCCTATCTCACAGATCGTACCTTGCCTACAGCCTCGCAACGTTCATCGGGTACGTCCACACACCTTCTCTTTCTGCTGGGTCTTTCGAACCCCAAGAAGCCTCGTATGTCCTGGGCAGCCTCGGCCTCCGCTCTGTTTGGGAAGTCCAAGTCCACCCGAGGAGCCCGAGCCCCCGAACACCCCCTCAGCAGAGCGCTGCATCGTCTCTGGGGCAGCCGTACCTACCAGTAGCGGACTAGCGTGCCACGGAGCTGCGACTCAGAGAAACGGCCGCAAGGCTTCGTGCAGAGAGTTCCCAACCTGTCAAAGTGCTCCCGGAGTTTGGCTGCCACGAAAGTGGAGCACATGTCGCCACCTCGGGAACTCCAAGTCAATCATAGAGGCTTCAGGCTTCACTGCCCTGATGGTCGTTTTGCTCCAAGCTTGCTGCCGTGGCCATCCAAGACCTCAGCGTTTAGTCTGCTCATAACCAGAAGAGCTCCTCCTCCTCCCAAACCGGCCCACCTGCTGCCCCAAGTCGAAACAGAGGTCGCGGCGGCAAAGAAGCCCCAATCCGGCTGCATGATCACGACATGAGAGTCCTGATAGGTGCCACTAAATGTTCCGCGAGATATCTCAGTCGCAGTGGAGGAATGCCAGTAGCCTCCATATTGCTGCGCCATCCATTCATCTCGCAGGTGGCGACGCAGAACCCTTTGGACCACCGCTCTTCGACCTTTCGGCTCTTGTCGTCAACAAACCCACTGCACATCCATTTAACACCGGCAGCTGCCGAGCTGAGCTGGTGTCTGCAGTGGACTCCACCGCCTTGGGTAGCATCGCCTCGGTTAACATGGCGAAGTTATGCGCCTTTGGTAGGAGATATGAACTTTTGGCATACAAATATCATATATCTCTCACCACGGTTAAGGAAGTGGCCCCCATTTTGGTGAAGCCACGAGCCTCCAAAAATCAGCTTCCACAAACTCTCGAGCCAGAGCAAACCAAAACATGCAGCAGGCCTGGCAGCACGGCCAGCGTGAACGGCGTGGTCAAACCCCCGTCATCAACACCCACCTACACTTATGTTGATTCCGCTGTCTTTGACGGTGTCAGCAAGCGTGCTCTTTGTGAGTTTAGCTGAAGAGTAGATGGCTAGCCACAAGGTTGACTGACTTCAGCCGTTTACAGACATGCTGAAGTTGGCTTACAGTTTGTGCTTAAACCAAACATGAAGTTTCGATTCAAACCCATGCATCATGATGCCCCCATTTGAGCCAACCCTTTTTATCAAGGGATCGCGATGCAACAGTCGATATGAACACATCAAGCAATGAAAGATTCTCAGCACCTTGCCTCTGCTCTTGTTCACTACTGCTGCAGCCACAACCGACATGAGTGGATCCTGTCACATTCTGTTTGCAGATCTTCCCTGCAAAAACCCATGCCTTTACAGAAGAACTCGAAAGCCACACATGCCAGCGAGTCATTGCGGGCACTGGCCCCTGCAAAACCCCAGACCTGGCGTGCAGGGGAGGAGCGAATGACCTCGAACATCACGCAGACGTTTCAACAAACTGAAGCCGGTACCATGCGGGACAGACAGCGAGGTGGCAACCTTGGGCAAAAGGAGAAATGCAGACATCTCCATACGGTCCAGAACTACCGAATGATGACATTCACGTGCTATTGAGACTGCAAGTCCTTTCTCGGCCACTGGCTCCTCCGTCCTGTATTTTGCCTTCTCCGCCGTCACCTCTCCATCCCACAACAGTACGTACACTTACCAATCCAGATAGCCGATCCCTTTTAATCGATCAGAGGCCTGCATAATCCTGGCAACGACGGGCTGCTGGCCTGAGGTGGAAGGGAATACGAGAGCTTGACAGTCATAGGCTGAGTGATAGCAACTTCTCACACGACTCCTGCCAGTGCAATCCTTAGGCCAAGGTCATGCCGCTTAGATCTTCCAGAAAGCACAGCATCGATGTCAGCTCAGGTAGCGAAGTCAGTGCTATCAGAGGATCACTAAAGCATCTTCCCCGGTCAGGTCGAGAAATATCGTCGGGTCGAGAAGAGTTTCGACGAACGAGAGTCGGCCGCTGTCCTGCAAGAGCTACTGCAGTAGCTACCAAGCTGATACGATCAGGCTGGCTCGACCTTGCCGCAGGTTTAGGCTGTGCCGCCACTGAAACCCCTCAATCGTATCCCAAGAGCTGAAAGTCGGCGGCGTTGTCAAAATTTGATGTGAACAGGCCTACCTAAAGTCATAGATAGAAGATAGTTTTTTCTTCCAGCTAAAAATCTCTCCCAGTGCATGGGAAAGACATGCGAAAAACTCACGCCGTGCGAACACCCAAGGAAAATCTAACACAGCTGACAGACGCTGGAATTTGACGAAAACCTTTGGAGGCAATATTCCGTGGCAGGTGTGTTTGTGTGAGTTTTCGCGTTGTCGCGAGAGTTTCCAAATGATTTTCTTGGTGGCTGGCAATACGATTTCGAGGTCGAATTATGAAAGGTTCGATTGCCTTTTGGAAATCTTGGAGTTCTTCGTATACGTATACGCCTCCTAACAAAGCCTGTGCCTGGGAGGAGCCTCTGAGGAATCACAGGAGCGCTAGCCGCCAGCGTGTCTTCCTGAGCATCGCACCCGGCGACACTGGAATCCTTCCCATTTGGTAGGCGAGCTCCGCCAAGTGCTCCGCAGGAACGGATCTTAGTCTTCCCTGCACACAGGGATCGAAGCTAAGAAGCTAGTAATATAAACATGCTGCAACTACAACACACGCCAAATCCCTAGACTGATTCTGAAGGCCCCTCCACCAGTAGCTTCATGCTTACCAGATCCCAAGGCTTGCCGAGCCTCCTCGCCGTCGTTTTGCGCTACCTGACAGATGCAACGAAGGGGAGGATGTCAATGCGTCACGGACCACCAGACCACCACTTGGTCACATTGTGACATGCCAGCAGTGCTTCTTGCAACGCTTGATTCAGATCCTCCAGAACGTTCGGGAGGATCTGCAGTCCATCATCATCCTTAGACGCATTCGGAATCCTGCTCCGAAGCTGCTGCCAGGAGACTGAAACGGGTCGTGACGCACAGGCTAGGAAGCCGGCTGAAAGGTTTGCGATGATCATGACCGCTTTTGGGATGTCGTGGGCCTACAGCTTTCGCCACGGCACTGACGCTTGAGACAGCTCGTTTTTTGAGACCGTGACCTTGCAAGCCTCGCGAATGACTTCTTCACCTCGAAAGGAGATCAGGTGTGCAGCTGACTTTTACGCCATGTGCTGCTTGCTGAAACTCTCATGGCTTTATGAGCTTGCTGCGATCATGTGCATTGGGTGAAGGTGCCGGCATGGACACCTTCGCTGGCAGCAATGTGGCAGTCTCGGAAACGGAAAGGAAGCGTGTACGAGCCGTATGAGTGTGCGGCTGGCCCGGTAGCGAGAAGATGCTGCAACGGGGCTTGCGGTGGCTGCTGCAGGTTGTGCGGCATCTGCTTGAACCTCTGACGATCAAAGGCCAGCAGACAAAGAGCAAGCTGTCGCATCTGGATCACTTCTGCAGTTACGGTGAGACTGGGTCAACGACTGCGCAGTGCCTCGTCAATGTCACACTATGCATACAAGGATATTCAAGGTCTCAAAAAGCGGCCAGACCCTTCCAGGAACTAGTCCAAACACATCCTGCCTTGTGGTCGGTGGGCGACCTCGTCTTGTATGGGACGCTGCTGGCACCAACTACAGGTAGGACAGGAGAGCTCTGACAGAGGCCGCTCAGTTCCGGACCGGATAGGCCTCCTGCGGAAGACGTCGGTCCCTCGGGTCCCTTGGGTCCCTCGGGTCCCTCGGATCCCTTGCGCACTCGCATGCTGCATCGAAAGGCTTTGCGGCTGTGCTGACATCCCAGTCACTCCGGATCTCTGCGTGAATGCCACACAGATCTGCCTCATCTGGTTGTATGGAGGGAAGGAACCTGCTGGAGCCGCCGGGACACCTGAGACACTCGGGAAGCTCCAATTTCTGAAAGGTCGAGGCGTTTCGTGCGGAAGGTTTGGAGATAACACCTCCATGATCCGTGAACTTTTCAGCCGTTCCAAGGCAGCACGGGGGAGACATGGGCATCCGCGTGTTGCGTGTGACCGCAGCCGAACCGGCACTTCTTACCACTGAAAAGTTGCTCAGGCTCTGCCTTGCCATTGCCATGGCAGGCATCAAAACACACGACTTGCACATTCTGGGTCTGGGCCCTCTGGCCGCCATAACCGGGATGACAAGCTCCAGCAGCACAGGCTCCTCCATAACTGTGTTGAGTGCAATCTAGTCAGGGGTGCCGTGTCCCGTCCTTGACCCTCATGCCGTTCGTGCCGCGCTTCCCGCGCGTCTTGGCCAGACTTCGAAGGAGGCGGAGGTGGCGGTGGAACGTTCAGCTGAAAATTGGGCGGCCTTGCTGCGAGATGTCAAGCGCAGCAACCCTCTCGCTTAGGAGAAACTGAACAGTTGCCAGGGCCCATGCGCAGTTGAGCCTGCAATCCAGGCAAACAAAGGATCAAACCAGGCTGTGGAGCTTTCACTCCGAATAGCCTCGTGCAGCAAGATGAGGGTCGCCTGTCACAGGCAAGGACGGAAGGACGGAGACAGGAGGGTCGAGCCTGGATATCTCTCTCAAGGACTAGCACACCCATACATGGACTCCCAAAGCTCTAGGCCCACAGACTGTGCCTCCCGTATTTTCACGGCGTGGCCGCCGATTTTGACGACTACCTTAGCAAAACGCATCCTGTACACGTGCCCTGTTGCGAGCTGGCCTTCAAGCAAACCGCCACCACTCTCCGTTCGGTCCATCCTCTCGAAGTCTGCGCTTTGACCTGGCAATCTGGCTCTGGGGCTTCTCCACAAAAGAAATCATTGGCCAGCAAGCATAACAGCAGGTTGGAGCGCATGATTCATGATCTAATAAGCGCGAGGAAGTCTGCACATAATCGATGATACATGCGAGCGGCTTGTCGGCAATCAGAACTTTTTGGAACTTGGCCCCTTACCATCTCCATAGTTCCGTCTCTCTCGGTCATCCAAGTCTCAGCAAGGCAGTACTCAGCCGAGTATTCATACGACGAGAGCTGCACACAGAGCCTCTCTGAGCTGGGTTTCTGCCTCAGAACGTGTATGCTCAAGCTCAACATTGCTTTTCACTGAAGCTCACTTGTCTCGCACTCCTGAACTTTGGAAAAGCAAATCAGCCAGTTCTTGAACAGCGAACGTTCCGGCAACGTGCAGACAGCAAGACACCCTGCAACAGACGTGCAGAGAACACATGCCCAGCCGTGCTGGGCTGGCAGCCATCCCGCATCTGTGCAACGGTTTCCCGACTTCTAAGTTGCGGCTGATGGCGACGAAAGCCACGTTCGTCCTATAAAGACCAATAAAGAACAGAGCCTTTTTGTTGCTGCCATGGTGTTCGCGCTAAGGCTTAGGCCACTTTCGGGCTGTGTTTCCAGGCCTTCTGTGCGGGCGCCTGTGTGTGTTTGACTGACACTGGGGGCATGGCCCATCAACTCGTCCTCGCCTGTACAAAAACGAAATCCAGAGTCGGTCAAGAACCGAAATGTCGAAGAAAACTCTCGGCCTCGTCTCTGTCGATTACGGCCTCGAGGACAAGTTGGAAACCCAAATTGCATCACGGACTTGACCACATGCCAGCACTGAATGTGGAGACACAGCGCGCCTTTGCCACGAGCTTTCGAGCCGCCTGCAGGCTTGAAAGGAGTCTCTCTGCTTGGCACATGGACTTGCCCTCATCCTTACCCTGCACGAAGTGAAAGCCATGATGCTGAGCCTCCGCTCCCTCCACCTCGTTCGGAGACATTGTCAAAGGCCATCTGCTGCGCGAGCACCTGAGCCAACCAAGACCACGTCTATAGGTCCTTTTTGGGGTTGCGGGTGCTCGCTCCCTACAGAGTACGGGTGCGTGGCCATGACCGCGGTGGCTTTGGCTCAAGCTGCATAGGCCCGACCCGAACACCATGGCGAGGCCATCCATACTATACCCTTCTGGATACAGATTGTCACATTGTAGACTGGGCTTAGGTGATTAACTCTCGGATCATAGGATTGAGAACTGCCACATGTTGTATAACGGAGATATGAATCCGAACAGGACCTCTCGAAGATTCACAGGTCTTGCGTGGCTTCACATGTTGGCTCCACGTAGTTGGGAGGCCGTGCTGTCTTCTGAAGACCCATCCATCAAAGGTCAGGTGGACGTCGCCAAGAAAGTTGCCAAGAAAGGGCAGAGTGAAGGACAGTCAAGACGGCAACTTCCAAATTGCACGGAACAGAAATTTTGCTTCCCGCTTCCAGCCGCACAGTTTGGCAGTCTGCAGCGGACGAAACAAGAGACATTAACATCGCAGCGCACTCGTGCCATTGAGCCAGTCTATACTGCAGAGTTGCCTTCTTTGCAGTGTCCTCAACAGGGGTCATCGGCCATGGAGTGCGCCCAAGCGAGTGCGCAAGCGAGTGCCCTCTTCAGTTGGCCACGGAGTCACGGAAGGCCCGCGAATACTCCTCCAGCTCGGCCTGGCGCGACCGCGACTCTGGGTTTCTTTGTTGTTTTGTTTAACGCCCTTTTCCGCCCTTGCAGTTAAGGTCAGCGAAACCCAGAGTTGTGGGAGTCTAGGGTTTAGGGTTTAGGGGCGGCCCCCTGAATTCTGCTCCTCACATCCCTCGCCTTCGAAAAGATGCACATCTCTACGCCCTCCGCATTGAGAATCTTGTCCTCTGGAAGGACGCAAAAGGCCGTGAAAGCTGACAACACACATGAGGCAGTCCGGTACTCAGAATGTCTTGCTCGAGTTTTGCCAAGTCCTGGTCGCCAGGATCCAACATGCCGAAACCCGTCTGCAAAGCCTGAACATGGTCCCGATATCTCTCGCTGGCACACACGGACAGCTGAACTGGAACTGGAAGGTCGAGCAGGACTGATTTTGATCCAGCAGACGCAGGTCTTACACTCGTCGAGGGCATCGTCTGAGCCCTGCATGACTTACTTTTAAAAGATGCGCGAACCATTCCTGCTGCCTGCAGCAGGTGGCAAACGCCGGTTCTCAAGCTGGTCTTGTCAGCTTGGGTCCACTGCTCGTTTTCGGCTGTCCACATCAGAACTCCTGGACTGCAACTAGCTAAAATTCCGTTCACAAGCCGGGCTGAACTCGACTCTGTCCTCTCGACGATGGCTTCTTTGAAGGTTCCTTGCTTCAGCACGCCATTTGTCTGCGGCCTTCAAGCGAACACATACCTGATTCTGCTGTGATCGCCACGCCATCGCGGCCTGCCTTGAACACCCCTTCTGGCAGGGAGTTGATAAACCTTCGAACAGGCAGTGTCAGGATGTGCAGAAAGCAAACCTGCAAGCCACCTGCGGAAAATCCGCGTGGCTTCTTCCTTTGTCATCTTTGCGTTGGGTGTAGGAGGCGATGGCAGCCTGCCCCATGTCCAGTTTGGATGCACCTTTCGGAGAAAGGGCAACAAGTGGCGCATCGCATGTGGGACTGGGCCCCGCATTGGCCTTGCTGTGGAATCTGACCACCTCCGCTACAGCAGACCAGGAGCCGCTCCGCGGCGTTATCAAACCGCTTGCGAAGGCCAAGGTCTCAGCTTTCCAGGGCGCGGAGTCGCGGAGGCAAGGCTTCCCTTTGTACCACTGTGCAAGCTGAGACGCATTCCCAAGGTTCACGGCCTGCCAGATAATTGAAGCCGTGCACGAAAATTCAACAAGTGGCCAACATGAATAATGGGCGCCTGATGCCACCAGCCAGAAGGAATCAACAGCAAGTCTCCGGCTTCTAGCTTTGTCTCCCACAGCGGCACACCCTGCAAACATGTTGTGGGCAGCATGTGCTTCTCGGTTGTATGCAATTTATACCACTGCACCGCAAGCCGACACAAGGCCACATGCCCGGAGAACTAGAACTCCATTGCGGACGGTCTTTCGTAAATTGATCGTGCTCGACGATTGATGCCAAGCGAAGCCACGCTTCACCACAGGAAAGCACAACGCACTTGGGCAATGGCCTGCGGTGCTCCCTCGAACAGGTCGACTGCGGCTTCGTAGTTCACGCACTCCATCGCAGAGCCACAAGATCGAACTGCCACCTTGAGCTTCTCATCGTGGCCCTGAGGTCCGTGTATAATCAGGCACGTTTGTCTGGGCAGTACGATGTCCATATGACAGCTTCCTGCATCTGAATCGCTCCTGGTGGTATCAGTCGCACAAACTTCTCTCCACGGAGGACCAAATTCGTGCCGGTCCAGTTGTACAAATCCACATGAAGCTTTGACCTGCGCAGCGCCACGGTCAGTGATCTCCGAGGGATTGCTTACGATACCAATGCGGACATAGCCTGAACATATTAGTGTCTTGGCACCCCGTGACGAGGCGTAAGATGAAGGATCTGTGGGGAAGTCTTCTTATGGCCCTTTCTTATGGCCCTTGGTGGCTTATTTCCGCTCTGCATCCGTATTGAGGGTCCCAAAAATTGTGTGAACCTGCCCTTCCCCAGCAGGGCGCGGACTCGAGGCTTGATTCCAAACCAGCCTTAAAAAACCAACGAACCACAACAAAATTGCGGACTAATCCAACAATTCTCAGGCCGGCTGCCTTCCTAGACCATGCTACGACAAGCGCAGGCGACCTAGAAAATGCACATGCCGTGCTGGCAAGAACCGGCTCTTCAAATCGAAGCCTGCTCCCATGTAAAACTGCAAACTCCAGCACGAGAGCAGACGAATTTCTTCTCCTGACTTGCTGGCCTGGAGTAGCGTCCTCCCCATAGAAGGGTCGCATTGTGCGGCACGAGCTTTGCCTTCGGCTCAACTACAAGCTCCCCAGCTAAGATTCGGGAGGAACCAAACTCTGCACTATCCTGTCCAGGCACCGGCATCAAAGCAAACTGGTCCTCATTTCGGAGCACCGATGGCATTGGAGGGCACTCGCCGACCAGCTCAGGATGTCTGTGGAGAAAATAGGAATCTTGTATATAAGACCATGCATCCTCCGGGCACTCCCAGATCGGGCGTACATCTCAAAACAATGAAGGAATTGATCACGTGCTGAAGAATTGAACCTGGCTGTTCGTGTTGATGTGGCGCAAAAACGTCTCAAGCTTGGCGGACCTCAACTGCTCTGCTCCAGAATGTGGCCAAGCTTCGAGGAGACTTAGGGGCTGGCATGACCCGCTCCTCTTTGTTTCCGAAGCCCACGAAGACGACTCGCTCTTTGCCAAAGGGTCGCATCACAGCCTCCGAGGAATCACCACATTGCGCCGCTCACGAGAGGAAGACATGCGCAAACAAAATTATGCTGCAATAAACTGTATATTCTACGATAGGATCCTATATTATATTGACTTTAATTATGCTATATTAGACTAGATTCTATGCTACTATATGTAAAATATTGTAACGTATCATATACTGTCATGTATCATCCTACACAATTACTAGTTGTCATAGATTCGACTGTGTTATGAAAAGGGATGTTGACAGTATATTATAGTCTCTTATAATTTTGCCTTATCTTCTAAAACAAAGAATATTGTTTTATCAGATCGAAGCATATCACATCGTACCATTTCATATCATATCAGACAATGCTATCTTATCTTATACTGCATTACATTGTGTTATAGTGCATTACATTATACGATGTTCAATATACTACGATATACTGTTACACTAAACTAGATCATCAGGCAGCCGCCTTCTCCACCCATCCGTCCTCCAAGCAGCTCGCATTCTTGTATGCCCCTTGCCAGACGACGGGGATCTGGCCCTGCGTTTCAGATCATATCAGGCTTCTTTGAACCCTGACTTTAACACCGGCTGCAGTCTGCCGCGGCTCCTCATACTCCTCGCGATAGGCTGCGAGAGTCAAGTTCTCAATCTTGGGCACTTCCCGCGGGCGTGTCCATGCGGAGTCCTGCAGCGAGGCACCCCCTTTCTGACCCGATAGCTCCTGGAAACATCTGACAAACTCGTGTGTCCTCCATGTCAGCAATACCACTTTTCACGGGATCGACAACGTGCTTGAAGTGAAGCCAATGCCTGAGATGGAGCGATGCCGAACGCTCTCCTTTCCCGGATCGGGACCTCGCATGCTATGGTGTCTTTGTCTCAGTGACACATGCCGACCAACCGTCTGGCAAGTGAGGCATGAAGCCGACAAGCCAGAAGCTGTATATGTACAGGGCTTGGGCTCTCACATGCATAACCTGGCCAAGCCATTGCAGGGCTCCTGTGCTCCTTCCCGTTTCAAAAGGGCGAAAGATTCGAGCTCTACAGCGGCAACCGTGGTTCGAACGTCGCGGCTTCGTTTGGGAGCTTCTGGATGACGTAAACATGACCACTCTGAAGCTCTTCCGGACGTGAGCACCAAGCTTCGACTTGCTCGGCCACTTCTTGCAGGCTTGGCCAGGCGCTGTGATCAGCATCTGGCATGGCACTTCGGTTCTGCGGGGTGTCAAGGATCTGGGGAGCCAAGCCTATGGTTTTCGCATCCGCAGGCAACCCAGATGTTTGGTCCAGAGAGCGAACCAGATGATGGACAGCGACTTTTGCAGCCCCATACGGCAAGCTCCAGGGAGTTGGCGCTAAAGCCGCTGCAGCTCCCGGCAAAACAACGAGGCCTCCCTTGCGCAGCGTATGACAAGCCACATGTGCCGCTGCGACAGAGGAGTAAAGAGAGGACTCCACCATAGCTTTGGTGGTGCTAAGAACAGCTGCCTCTGCTGCAGTGCCCATTGCGAAGCCTCCAGCAACATTGACGACAGCATCCAGATGACCTGCTGTGCCGAGCTTCTCATCTCGCCTCAAGGCAGAAATTAAAAACTGACCCTGCTCCTCATGTCGGACTTTCCCGATGTCAATAGGTATCATCGCTGACGCGGACATCGCAGGCCCAGCCAAATTGACATCGGCTCCAAAGGTCAGCCAGTTGCGCTTCACGAAGGCGTCGCAAAGCTTCCGCCCAAGCTGTCCTCCTGCGCCGACTACGAGGACCCTCTTTGCCATGGCAGCTTTGCCAAAGCACTGCGGTTCTAAGCTGGCGCGCTTGAGCCTCAAAGCAACACTACCTGACTATCTTCCCCCATTGGAAATCTTCCTTCGAAGGATAACCCACAGTTCCCAAACCTGCATCGCATCTCTGTGCATAGTCAAGCTCTGCAAATTAAGCGGACCAAAAGGCCTTCAAGCTCTGAGGCTTGCGCTCCAGTAGATCTGCATCGAAGGACGGCGCCGCAGATGCTTTGCTCTCCGGTGCCGTTCCCCAAAACCAGCTCCTCACAGCCTGTTCTTCAGAAAATCCAGGAACCACAACCGCACCAAAAGTAATAAACCTATGCACTGCCCGGAATGTAATTCGCCTGTCTGCCTCCCCAACCCTTGGGAGAACGGCCAGCAGATTCTGCACTTCTCGCTCTCCCTCCTCGCCCGTCAACTGATGACCTGCTCTATCCTGCCCTACACAGTCCATGAACACGCCACCTACTGCTGTCTACAGCAGTGATTCTCTAGGTCTTGCTCTTTTTGAAGCAGCGGGTGCATCTGCCTTCTCGACATGCTACGACAAATCTCAATGAGTGCCTTACAAGCGACGAGCCAAGCGCACTACATACAATCCATAGCATTCCCGCCCTCCATGTGCATCTCTAGACTCTAGATCGTAGGTCCGTCTGTCTACATCAGCGAGCGCGGCCATTTTAACACACTCAGACACCTTAGTTTGAGAGTCAATCCTGCCTCCTCTCCTCTTAAGCAACTTGCTACCAGCTGTTTTGTCTCTTCAGAATCCGAAGAAATGGGTCTTCTTGCTACCCGCCCTTCACTTCAATTGAAGCCAAGCAACAGGAAGCCAGCACGCCCAGACAAGGCTCCACCAGGTGCTGCACATTCACGTCAGAGGCTCTGCTCTCATGCTTGGGCTACACTCTGGGCATTGCTAAGAGTTGCAATTGCAAGCCAGCTTGAGCCCGAGCAGCTTCCAAGAACCGCGAAAGATGTCGGGGCATTCCAGATCAGATACTCCCACAAGTAGCTAAGTAGCTGAAGTAGCTGCACATCTGCAGCCTGGACGGTCATCTCCGGCATGTCCTTCTCGAAGGGCCCCGCCTCTGCACACATCCGCTGAGGCAACCTCCGAGGCCCCGGGGCCGAGGTCAGGGCGAAGATGGAGCTGGAGATGGGAAGCAGCCGGAGCCGCGGAAGCTCGCAGCCTGCGAACCTCAGGCAAAGAGCACATAAAGCGCTCCCCGGCTACCCCTTTTCAAGCTTCTGCCGAAATTCACTACGCCAGGGCCGCCACTCCTTCAGAGTCGAGGCATAGGCCTGTCCAATCTCACTTGCAATCAACAGCTAGCCCGGCCACCGTTCATGCTGCATCCGCTCGACCAGAATCTTTCTGGAGTGAGATGCGTTATTTTCGTCGAGGCTGGCTTTCGCAACTACCTGTCTCGAAGTGAGGCTGTCTTAGCCTGAGCAGCATGTTGCGCCGAGCTCCAGGAAAGTGCGTGGTGCTGTCGCAGAACCAACCGCGTGAAAATGAAGATTGGCAGCAGCGGGGGGGTTACGGGCTCCTGTCCGAAGATGTATCTCCGTCGCTGCTGCTAGCGGTTGATTGCCGCCTCAAAGCTTGTGTTGCTTCCGTGTAAGTCGAGACATGTGGCTTAGTGGCCCCCGTCAGCTGGGAGGCTGCATGGGAAGTCTGCCACGAAACCTGCAAAACTTCTGGCATTGCCTTCCTCGGCTTGTTGATCCAATGCCCACGGGCATACCCAGTTTTTTCATCAGCGCTCGAGACCAAGTGTCTCCAAGCTAAGTGATCCTTTCTGATGAGAGCTCTGGCAACATCGGCACCATGTACCTCGGAGTGAAGCTTCGTGCGCCCGTTCGAGCTGTGCTTTTTGAAATCATCCATCCATTTGAGAATCTCTTGAATGCGCCCTGGCAAAATAGACTCCACCTCTGCAGTGCTTCGAGCAGCTGCTACTGGACTGTCACTCTGAGTGTTGACAACGAGGATCTTCCAGTCAGCTTGGCCTTCATCAATGAGGCACACTGCTCCAAGCGGCCTGCAAATAACCTGGGTTCTTCTTCGGGGGCTTGATTTAAGTTACCATAAGAAGGAAACCCTGTTGTTTGCTTTAGATCACTATTATGGTAACTTAGATTAAAGTCCTTAACAAGAACCCAGCAACCACATCTCCAACTCCGGAAGGTGTCTGGCTGATGTCAACCACATCCAAGGGGTCATCATCACCAGGAGCATCATGAAGTTCGTCGTGCTCGGTTGGATCACGGTATGTTTGTGGAAAGCATCCGTAGTTAAAGGGAACCGGTCTGCCGAAGGCTCTCAACCTCCTAGATCCCTCTGTGTCCTCACAAAGGATGTTGTTCTCGAGGGTGGTCTGGAGCCTGCAGTCAGCATGCATCTTGGGATCTTGGCTAAGAAGACTCGCAACATGCTCTCATCGAAAAAGTTTCAGCTTAGATACTCGAACTTCTGCAAGGATCCCTGCGGCATCTCGTTGACATACCGGAAGAGTCCTGTGTCCTCGGAAAAGGGGGCCGGCAAATTGCACAAACGGAAAGTCACAACGAAGTGGACAGTGCTTGTGAACCCGGCCTCATCCAGCCAGTCTTGCACAAACAACTCCGTTTCATGCCAGTATGAAGTTGTCGTGTGAGGGGCGTCCCAGATCGGGACATTCTCTTGTTCGGAGGGCTGCCCATCACTGTGGCCGCCCTCGCAGTGTCTCGTGGAACAGCGCCGGAGAACACCACTGGGGTTCCTGATCAACTTCGACTTGCCGAGCTTTCGCTCGATCCGCTCAGCCCGAGCCCTTGCCACTGTTTGCAGCAAGGATCTCGCCGCCACCGACACCACGCTCACCCCCATCAAACAACCCAGGGACCCGAAGACGGAGGAGGAGAAGCTCCTCGGATAGCCCTGGTTGGAGTCAGCATTAGACGCCACACCTGTCAGCAGAAAAACTTGAGCAGCATCTCGATGAGGTGGCACGGATCCTGCGGAGAATCCCAGGCTGCCTGGAAAAACCAATAGCAAGGGAACAAGTGCCATTACTGCAGCGCACACCGTCCATGCGCCACCACGACTAGCCACATATGCAGATTCTCGATCAAGCATCTGAGAAGCAGTGTTGGGTTCAGCAGTGCGAACCAAGCCGGCGGTAAGCATGCGAAGGAAAAGGATTGGAGGGTACAGACAAAGCACGATGGCTGAGATGGGCAGCACGTAAGCGTGCAAGCTCGCGGCAAGATCGTGCCCTAGCAGAACCAGCTCCATCACCAGAACTGCCAGGGCAACCGGCCGCGTCCAGCGCTCAGCTCAAGAGAACAAGAAAAGCGTTGTCATCACTCGTATCTACATCAACATAAAATCTTGGCGACCTCGAGCCATGAAGCGGCAATGCAAAAAGGCAGGTACAGTCATTCTCCCTCCCCTCCATGTGCGCAGCAGAGGCAAGCGACGAGCTTTGTTCCAATCTGATCTATGCCTCTATGCAGCCACATGCTCGAAGTTCGCACGCAGGTATGCTGGTTCTCCATCTAGGGAATCTAGGGAGTGTGAGTCAGGTAGCTCTTGATGACGCCTACTGACAAGCTTGACACTTTTGGATGCTTCCGTTGTTCCGATATTAGCAATTGAAGGTTGTTGTGAGATCAGAAAAGATGGACTTCAGCTTCAGACCGTCGTCAGAGATTAGATGTCATGGGCCCACCCTCACACCACATTGCAGACTACAGGAACGCGGGGCAAGGGCCTTCGCTAACTCATCGACTGCATCTGCCCAAACGTTGCTTCTCCTGAATATTCTGCTGAGGTGCACCATGCACAGGAGAATCACTTCTTCAACATTGTAACAACTCCGACAGTGCCAGAGCAAATGTTAATCCTTCCGCTGGGTGCAAGCTCGACCGGCCACGACACCGGCGAATAAAATCTTACGACCCTCGCGCAAAGATAAGCGTACAACAGGCGGTCCAGAACAGGCGATTGTCGCGATCATGGCAAAAACACAGAAAAAGACTTGGGGAGCAAGCCTCAATTTCGGAGTGGTCCTAGGCTGCGAACTAAACCTACGGTTGGTTCCTTTTGTGCTTGGGGGACCGGGGGGGCCAGCACAGACCTGCAGCATTAAAGCAAGGAAACTAGCATGAAAGAGACATCGCAAGCGTGAGAAAAAACGAAGTCAGCACCGATAAAGCAGTGCAGTGGAGACATGGGACGAACAGCAACTCAAAGTGCTGCAATTGAACATATCGTGGTCTCCTTTTGAGCGGCTGCGGGACTTGGGACTTTCAAACGACAAACGACGGTGCTTTGGACTTTGGCATTGGAGGGCCGGAGTCTTTGGATTGAGGGGTCTCTATACTGAAGAACCTGACACCGACTGTCGTCTGATCGAGCCTCTGCGATGCCTTGAAACACTCCCACTCCAATAAGCTCTACAGAAACGGGGTCCCAAAGCCAAGGAAATTAGATTCTGATCCTGAGTGCCTTGAGCCCCTTGCCGCGAGGAGCACGGTTCATAATTTAGGGGTCAAGGGCCAAGGGTATAGGGAGCGGTTTGGGCAGGATCGTTACTACAAGCATCTACAAGCACAAGCCTGCGGTGGTCCTCGATCGAAAATCGGGCCCAACCACATGGATGACATTTTTCTGGCCATTGTCATAGGAACAGAACTTTGCTTGCAATGAATCTTGGATCGCATCTTGTACGCTCTGCGGGAAGTGGCTGGATATACCGATCCATTTGTACAGCTGACCTGATGCGCCTCCAGCACCGGAGGGTCCGCTTCTTATGTAAGGCAGGCCAGCAGGATCAACGACCACCTCTCCCGGGCCCGGCTCGGCTGCTGTCACTCTCACTTGGCCATGAGACAACTGGGAACCCAGAATGCCGTAAGGCACCACCCTCACTTTGGCAACGATGCGACTTCCTGAACGCGCCTTTCCTGTCTTGACGGGGAACGGTAACAAGTCGATACATTTCCCGCCAGTGGCATGAACATGGGTGGCAAGCTCCTCCGCGCTTCTAAACCGTGGCTCAGTGGACAAGTTCACGAGCAAAGATGATGCACACATAGCTCCGGATCGACGGTGCAGGTTCTCATCGATGGCACTCCTTGCCCCGTGACCGAACCAATGATTTCCCAGCTGCTTGTTGTTGGCACCATTCAGGAGACCAACTTTACGAACCGTCACATCTAACTCTGCCCGGCCGGACAAAGGCATCTTCTCTGCCAACTGCCGTGCCAACTCCAGCGCATCGCAGTTGCGGTGGAAGTGCAGAGCTGCTGCGAGCGCAGGGCTTTGAGCCACCTTGGCCGCTGCTGCCTCAATAAAGACGTTGTGGTTGGAGCGGCTCTCGAGGGAACAATCCACCAGACAGAGATGCAGACGCATTTGGACCTTCGGTCCGGTTTCTGATTCTTCCAGACACAGGAGCACGGCTGCATCGAACAATGCACTTGCTATTCTGTAGCGCAGACCTCGCATGGCAGCGGCATCGGAATACCTGTTGTCCAGTTTGTGCAAGTTTCGCAGAAACGCTCCCATCCCGAACGGGAAAAGAATCATATCCTCAATTCCCATGTGGCCAGCAGCGTGCAGCACGCGATGCCACAAAAGCCCCATGTCAGAGACATAGCGATCCTCATCTAGCCAGCGATTATGCCCACGACGCCCTCTGTAGGAGGGATCTGGTGGCACGGAGTACTCTGGGAAATCATCTGCTGCCTCACTCTCTCCAATGTTGATTGCTGCGGCGTGAAGAATCCAGAACCATCCCGGACCTCCGATCGGCTCTTTCAGGTCATCCCCAAAGAACTTCACGGCGGGTGTGGCTTTAGTCAAGGGCGCGAACTTGTCACTGTAGTCCGCACGCACAGGGGCTGCTACGACGTCAAAGCGCCCCAGCAAGGCTTCTCTGTCACGGGACTGGGCCGCTAGCAGCTCCGGTACGGAACGGGAGCAGAATGCCTGCAAAAAGGCGGTCAGACACCTTTGCGTCAGGCTTGGTTTTCTAACCTGGCAATGCAGGCCTTCTCCCCCCTGAAGAACCTGACTTCCGCCTGTCAAGAGCGGCTGTGACGGCCACCGGGGAACTTGCAACAAGATCCGTCCCGGCCATCAGGCTCTGCAGCAGCATCGGGAGCGTGAAGTCGCTGCGTCCGATGGTCTCCATTGCAACTCTTGCGTAGGTGACCTCGATGATTGGAACAAACAGGATCTCTTGCAGTCATCTCCCACCAACTATCAAGACACACCAAACTTACCGTCCCTCGGTTCACCGCGACTGAAACTTCAACCAAGAGCCCGGCCCCTTTGCGATAATTAAGCTGGGTCTTGTTCCCCAACAGCGATAGGACCTTGCTTTACTGGAAATCGTTCGCAGTGCACTTGCATCGCAGGCACACTTTGCACAGCAAACGCGGAATATGAGGAACAAGCTCGTTCCGCAGTGTCGTCGCGGACGCCGAACCTCACCTAAGGCTTGCGAAGGGGTCAAGGTGTTCAAGCCGAGGTCAAACACCCAAGGTAGTAGATATTGTAGGCTATAGGGACTATATTTACTCATTATTCCGATTCCCATCTTGCTTTGGGTAGCTTCACGCTTTGTCATGGGTCGGGATGTGTGAAGTTGTTCGTACAGGAACTTGGGATTTATCAGGACGGACTCATGCATGTTGCGTGTTCGGCATTCTGCAAAGTTTCCACAAAAAGCTCGAGTTGACAGGCTTACCTGACAGCATTCATTCGGGCTGGGGCGATGGTGGGGTCTTCGAGAATTCAAGGGATCCCCTGGAATGGGCAAGCTCGCTATGGCGGTCTCTTCTGCGAATTCTGGATCGATCATGACGATACTCTGCCACCTTGTCCCTTCCTTTCCGCGTGCAATTGAGCTTTGCGTATCTCTGCAAGCCATTCTTGCGACATCTTGCGGCAACGTGTGAAACACTTGGGAATGTCAGAGGTCGTCGTACTGAGAAAGCTTGATCCCGAAAGAATCGGCCTTTCGGGCAAACTCGTCAAAGTGTGGGCCTTGCAGCGCAATCCTGGCGCGGACAGTTTTGATGCCAGCTCTCCACATACAGTAGAGACGCCTGTGGTCGAAGGTGTAGAACTTGGTAGTCCAACGATTTGCCCTATGGTCACGCCAACGTGCCTTGGCCATATTCAATACGAGCCATGATGTCGACATGGGATTGTGAACTCCGTTTTTGAGCTGAGTGATCAGTTCCTCCAGACTTGTGCCATTCCTCATGGTTCTGCTGATTCTCTTCTGGAGACAACGCACATCATCCATACGTACCTGCACGATCTCTCTAGCGCTTGATGAATGAAGACCAGCCTCCTGGTCCGCTTCTTGCTTGACAGCCGTCCTCTCTCTGACCAAACTTCGCAACGCCTCCCAGTCATCCTCCTCACAGAGGACCTCCTCGCCACCATCGAGGACAAATCCCACTACCTCCAGATCGCTGGGTTCTGAGAACGGCTGGCCACACCTGCCACAGAAGTTGTGCTCCGGCAGTTTCTGTAAGCCACACTGCTGACAGAAAATCTTCTCGGCTGAAGCTTCGTGACCATCATCTGCTACAGGATTCTGAGGGATGCTCGGGACGGAACTAGCCGGCGAAGTGTCCAGAGCGCCATGGCTCCTACGGGGAGAGCGAGACCGACGATTGGAGGATCGAGGCTGCTCAGCCCTTGCGCTCTGAAGCCAATTGGCGTGTGGTTCCCAGCAGCTCTTCATCTCCTGCCATGCGCTGTGACGACGGCTGTAGCACCCAAATCGTTCTATGATAGTACCAGAAGGATCAAAGATTGCTGTTGCGTATGGACCTTTGAACAGCTGGCCAAACCTTTCCCGCACTTTGGCCTCCTGTGTATGAAACCAAATTCTGCAAGTATTCTTCCGAATGTGCCAAACGACAGCGTAGTGAGGGTCAGAGCTTGACGGTATTCTCTCCTCTTTCAAGTCATACCTCCCAACATCTGGCTGCAGGCATCTTTTTGGCTTGGCCGCCAACTCCTGCAAAGCTGGCTCCAATTCATGAGGATCGGCCGCTGCGATTCTGTGAGCCAAATAAGCTGCCAGCTCGTAGCACCTTTTGTTGGGGCCGAGCCCGAAACCAGCAACGCCATTGGCTACCACAATCATCGAATGGTAACTTGCGAGGTCATCATCCAAACATGACCTTGCAAGTTTCATTCGATCTGTCCACTCTTCTGCCCCAGAGCCTTCCGTGCGCGCAACGCCTTTCAAATTCTGTTTGTAATACTGCTCGGCGAGGCGGAAAGCTTCGTCCTTTTCTTGGCCCTTGTCGCAATGTACAGCCAGCAGAGGCCCTTCACGCAAGTTGAGAGTCCACATCCGGACCATGCCGCCCACCCGACTAAAAGAGGGGCCTAAAAGGAAGTGAAAGAAAAGCAATAAGTACTGCTGATTGCTGTGTCTCCGTTCCAGGGTCCAGAGTGTCTAAGCAACTTGAACCAAGCCTTTTTTGAATGCGTGTTGAGGTTCGCTCATGTGATTGCGACAAACTGTTGCACCGGTCAGAGTTCAAAAGCTCACGACTTTCAGGTCGACAAGTCGCATCGTCCTGGATAGATGGCAGCGTGCCGTCCGTGGCAAGGTCCAAACCAAGCTGCTTGGGATCAGCTTGCGTCCTGATTGACTGATGCGAAGTGCGAAGATCAGAGATAATTTCTCGGTCGGCAGCCACTGAGGAAGCCGCAGGTCTGCCTCGGATGCCTCAGTTCCAAGACAAGCCGTGACATAGAATCCGTGATCCCTGCCGCGACCCCAAGTCACCAGGGCCCGGGCGTGGAGAAGATCATGCAGCTTGATGTTGCGAGGGAAATGCATCATGCTCTTGAATGTCTCCTCCTGAGCCGATGCGCTGCAAACCCAGGGACAGCTCGCATATCTCTACGGGACTCAGACGCCGCCTTGCAGATGTGTCCCCAGCTTATCTACCGCACGTCTGTGAATCCGAGTGGCCACGTGACGTACCTCTGGAAGGTGGGGATCCTGAGCCGAGGCATTCTTGCAACCAGGTCTTGCACACGCCGGACCTGAGGACCGGACCACCGCACAGGCAAAGGTCAAGGCAGAACGCATCAACTCATGATCCGCCACCTGACAGCAAAAGGGCAAAAGGTAAAGAGCATCCTGGGGTTTTCAGGAAAAGCGCTCAAGAGGGTTGCCCCCATCTCTTCGCCAGACCTCTCCTTCCAGCGAAGCCGACAACACACCAGCCGCCAGTCTTTCTCCCAGCTGTTCAAATTCCTGCAACACGGCACACCAAGGAACAAAATGTCCAGTCCGGCATGTGAGAACGCTGTCCTTGGATGAATGTTTCCGCAGTTCTGAAGAGGAGTCAAGTGTCTCTCGGTTCTTCTTGAGCCAACTCAACACTTCCTTGAGCTCTTTATCTGCCGTACTACCCGTCCAAGAGCGGAAGGGTTGCAGTCTATTCGCCAAGAACGCCTCAGCCATCTGCAACGCTTCCTTCAGCAGTGTGCGATCTGGCTCTGCTGCCAGAGCTTGGAGAACTTTGCTGATACCATCAAGATCCAGATCAGGCAAGCCAGACTGTCTCCAAAGAGATACGTTTCGCTTTGCCCATAAAGGTCCAGTGGCTGTCAGATTCAAGCTTAACCGGGCGACGAGCCTCCGCGACCTAGGAGAGACGCTTCCAGGAGCTGCTCCGCTCGCAGAAACCGTGGGGTTCGGGTTCTCTTCTTCGCCTTTCTCTTCGGTCGCGTCAGCTAGTCCCTTGCTGGCAGCAAAGACTTCAAGGAAAACGGTTGCGCTGCCTAACCCACGCGCAATTTGTGCTCCGATGGAGTCCAGAGTCAGGAGTGACTTTCCGATGACATGATGCCCTCGAAGAGATTGCATGGCCTTGGGCAGACATATCTCGATATCAACTCCTTGCCCTTCGCAAACTTCGAATTGCCAAACCTCGTGCTTTTTCTTGTTGTCGAAGCTCAGATGACTCTTCAACCCGAGGCCTTCGCTCGACTGGAAGTATCGCTTCTTCGTGAGGCTGTCAGAAAACAAGAGGAAGGGCCGAATTGTGGAGGCATCATGGAACCATCCAGAAAACGATGGGTCATCCTCGAGGTCAAGCCTGATGCTGTCAACAGAAACCTGATACCGATCGGCCAGGGCGTTGGTGCGGACTGGCAAAGGACACATCGTGCCATACAACCATTGCACAAACTCCTCATACTCGATTCTCCCGTTGCCAGAGGTGTCTATGGAGTTGAAAATGCTTTGTCTGTCTTTCCCTGCAACACCAATGTGATCCAGGATGTTAGAAAGCTCACTCTTGGAGATTGACCCGTTGCCATTCGCATCCCATTTCTTGAAGGTGGCCAAGATTTTGTCCATATCCTCTCGTTGATACGAAGCTTTGCCAGTGTTCTCCATGGCCGCCATGGGTTCTCTGCTCTCTCAGAAAGGAAGTTTGTCTATATATCTTTCCTCACTTTGCTCGCAAGTTCGTGCCTGGATGCCGGGCCCTTCGAGCCGAGAGCTGCATGCAAGGCTGGAAGTGAGCGACCCAATCAACTTATAAACAAAAAACCTGGCCCAACGCACGCCCGGCGTCTCTCTTTCCCGCAAAGCGACCACCAGATCGGTCAGGACGGCAGCCCGAGCCTCGGTCCCCCGTCTGGCACGGTAGAGTGTATGGCAAAGCATAGCACAGTAGAGATAGCATAGTCCAGTATTATAGTATCATCTTCCACTACCTTCTCTTAGAGACAAAGCAGGTTGCTTTTACGGCACTGGGCTCCGGGCATGCCCCTCCGCAAGCGCTCACAGCGCCAATGAAGTCGCACCAGGGTTTCAGGCTCGAAGCCTCCAGCACTGCTTCAAGCAACAGGCGTCTCAAGAAACAGAGATGTAAAAATATGACGATAGGGCAATAAATTCAATAAATCAGGGGCCGGGCGAGCACAGCCTTCTTGGGCCCAATATCGCAACACTTGCAGGGATTCTCTACCTTCACACGGCCGAGAATATGACGTGTTAGGTGCTCACTCAGTCGCACGTGAAGGGCCCGGCCTACATCGGCCCATAACACATCGTTGCTGCTCATGGGTGCACTGAGATCCTGCTCACATGCATGTTGTTTTACTCTACAGAACTTTACAGCGCTGTGATTTTCCTGGACAAAACCACTGATTCGCGTCCACATCTGCACAGCGCATCCGCGACACTTGGATTTTTCTTGGCTCCGAAGCGCTACAGTACTAGTACTTTGCTGCTCTGATTCCCGGGCCCTGATCTCCTCCAGTGATCTGTGCAACCAGCGCGCCGCCCTCGGGTCACAGCCAAGAGGTTCGCACTATGGTCGGCTCCGAGGCTCAGATGGGCTCAGGGCGGATTCATCGGGGCCAGCTGGATGGCCTGTGAAAAAGCAACCGATACTTCCTGTTACGCCGCAGGCGGTGCTAGTCGTAGTGCACCTCCACAGCTCCCCGCTTGTAGGGCGAGGATGCATGTCCCAGAAGTGCTGGACCTCAGCGAAGATGGCAAAACCCGGTCCACGGAGTGCAACGAAGCATCTTCAGGAGGAAACCCAGCAGGTAGCCACAGGCAATTGTGACAGCCCGTGCCTCCAAAAGGCGCAACTAAAAAGCGAACTACCCTTCTTGTTGCAGATGTTGGGGGAGAGTAGCCTCCTCACCGCCACAATGCTGCCAGCATGCCAGAGCACCGCACCAGTCGTGCACCTCTCATCACAAGCCTAAATGCAAAGCCTGCTCCGCTCCTGTGAGAAGGGAACCAAGTTCAGCATGGAGTCGAAGAAAGACAATATCGCAGGTGAAGTGAAGTTGATGGAGAGCCATTAAACAAAGCAAAGCTTCCAGATAAAAGATAAAAACTGTCCGAAAATCACGGTCTAGAGGCCTGCTCACAAGCAAGAGCTCTGGCATGCCAAAGCCTCCAGCGCTCTGCTCTGCTCTGCTCGTTAGGTCATCTTCCACGGCCATGTGTGTGAAAGACAAAGCAAAGTGCCCCAGGGCCGTTGCCAAGCAAGCGGTAGGCTTTGCCAGCACGGCTGCACCTTGATTATTTCTGAAAACAGAAATGAGTGTGTTGATCCGTGCAACTTGATCTTGCCTCCCCGCCAAAGTCCCACTGGCATGCCTGTCCAACGATTCTGCCGTTGCTAGAAATTGCAATGCTGCCAAACCCACCTTTGCTTGGCTTATCAGCAATCGCCTGACCTTGTGCTTGCAGGCATTCATTCATGGCATCAGTTTGAAGAGCACTGTCGGCAATACAGGAAGCCCCCTGCCATCGCAGCGCGTGCTCGGTGATCGCTCACAAAATGAGCGACGTAAACTGCCTGAGAAGAACTCTGACTCGAGTTTGTGCACAGGACAGCAAGCCCGAAGAGTGAGAAATGAGATCGCCACCCATTCATCTTTGCCTTGCTGTTCAAGCAGCTGTGAGTACCTGAGCCGCAGTGACATCACAGGTGCCACCGATACAGCAACTGAAACAGCCAGGGGCGGCGCTGCTGTGTCAAGCGTTGGAAGGCATGTCCTCCCTCATGTGCTGCACCGTCTTGGCCTCATGCATCTAAAGTACTCGCTTCAAGGAGTGTCCGGATCGGACATCCTCAGCAGCCAACCCAGCAACGCTAGCAACACGACCTGGAGACAGAGATCAGCTGATCCGCTGGCCGTGCATTGCCAACTCGGACTCCAACCACAAAGTGCCACGACAGCGCAACATCTTGTGGGTTCTTCCTCAGACATCAGGCAGTAACGAGGAGGAAAACTTTGCGGAATCTGCAATAGACACTCCGCAGTTTAGAGAACCAGGACTTTCGACTCGGCAAGCGGAAGACAGGAGGCTTGGCTCAAGGCGAATGCGTCATGTAGTCAAAATGGCTCATGTCGCAGTCGGCATCAAGGCAGCTAGCCAGTTGAATAGCTCGGAACCTTTCTGCATCGCGATCATCTCTTTGACAGTCGCAGGAAATCACTTCAGAGCGCCGAGGGCCCAGCTGCAGGGACATGGGCTCCTCTTTGCCAACCGCAAAACGATGCTCCGATTCAACACGAGACATCCTGGGAGGACCAAGCAACAGTGAAGAAACAAGCCATCGAGCATACATCATGCAAGTTGAGCTGGCCTTTGCTCACCTTCCAGGGCATAAGCTGGCACCTTACTCGTGCCCACCACAGACCATCTCTAGGTCTAAGTTAACCTACTTGCAGAGGCACAAGTCTGTGGTAGGTCCGAGCAAACGGCCGGACGGATTCTGGAGGAGCTAACTTGCTTCACCTGAAGCTTTCACGACGGGACAGCTCGCTTATGAGGGAGGCGACGCGACACATTCAGGCTCAAACCATGGCGCTGAGGAAGGATTGGACAACGCGCTCCAAGGCATGTTCACAGGTGCCTCTGCCAGGAGGCTATAGACCCATCCAATACTGCACGATTTGCAGCCACGATGCCCACGTCCACACAAGCTTCCTTCAAAAGCTCACCAATGGACAGAACTGAGTCTGTAAGAGTGCTTTTCTTGTGGAAGTCCTCGTCTGATTGGCCATACCAAAGGAAAATGCCGAATGCGGTGCGCCAGTCCAGCGCGTCGCAAGCCACCTGTCTGCTGATTTCACCCGTAGGAACGTAACCAACTGCATGGCAGGACTACGTTGGAACCACCTCCTAAATCAAAGCCAGGCGTAGTTCTAATGAGAGACACCAGATCTGCTTCTCGGCCTCCATGTCACCGGCAAGTAAGCTGTAGAGGCGCCATAAGTCTGGACCCATCAGCTCAGGCCTTGGTGGAGCTCGTCAATGACATCTCTGCCCTTTTCTGTCGGTTGTAAGAATGGCACACTCTTTGCCGCCTCCATTCTTCAACTTGCTTCCTGAAAGGCTTCGAGGTCTGGGAGAGCTTGAGGTATGTTCGAGATTGGCAATAAGTGTCGCACCGCAGCCAGCGACGCTGCTCGCGACCAGGAACTGCAGAACCACCACAAGCTGCCAGGACCTGAGGCTTAGTCTCCCAATTCTCCATTCAGACTGCCTTGAGTGCCAAGTCGAGTGTGCGTGAGTGCCCAGTGACAGTTCCTACTGTCAAAGATCGCATCTGCATTGTTCGCGCCGGAACCGTGGATAAACATGCTGTTTGAGACATCATGGGTTTTCGCTCGTATGGAATCATGTTTTGCGGTAAGTTAACCCCGGACACAAATCCGAGGAAGAGCTACGGATGTCAAAAAAAGGTCCGAGGCACGAGATGAAAATGTGTCGAAGCAAAAACCTCAGAGCCTGACGGCTGCCAATCGGTCGAAGTAGGGGCCTCTACAAGCTGTCAGCTTGTGGGCTTTCAATGATGCGGAGGGTCTCCAAGCCTGCTCCTGTTCCTTGCAGTGCACGCAGGGCTTGTCGCGGAGAGTTGGCCGTTAGATGATGAAATGCAGCCTCCAATCACGCAGCTGCAAAATAAGCCAGAGACGCTGACACTCAGTCGGGCACCTCCATGCCACGAGGATTAGCGCAAGTCTCACCAGAAAGCAGCCTGGTACAGTGGCAGTCAACATCGAGTCACGAAAGCAGGACTTGAGTTGAAGTATCGCCCACCTCATCGTCCGCCCCATCGTGGCAGACCTTTGTGCAAAATGCAGCACTGCTGCACAAGGAAATGCTCTTGTGAATGTATACCTTGCAAACTTCGGCATCCAGTAATCGGCTTTGAAGGAAGCTTGGGGACAGACTTTTGCAAATGACTGGCAACCGTCCTCCTGCACTGCAGTGCAACCATAAGAAGCGCTTGCAAGCCCATCAACTGGCTTACACTGGATTCTATTCTACTGATCCCAGGTGGAATCTGGCAAGCAGACGACCTGTTGACCCGCGCAAGCCAAGCGCTCAGCTTGTGCAAAACCTGACAGGGCAAGCCGGCTCAACCCGAAACCAAAATGGTGAGCCAGCTCGACAGGTTGTGGATTGCGATGGCAGCTCATGGCAGCTCTGCTGAGCTCTCAGCCTCCCGCTTGCCTCCGGCACAGGTGCTAAGACAAGAAGTTGCGCAAACCTGCATGACCTGCAGGCCTCTGCAATCGAAGAGAGATTTCAGAAGTTCGAAATCCTCGCTTCATGTGTGCAGCAAATTGCGGTCCGGTCCTGGAACCCATTCAATACCAAGCACACCACATCAGCACCATCCGTGCCGAAACAAGGCTTCGCAAGCTTCAGATACTTGTCGAGGAGAACCTGCTCAATGCTACAGTCAGCCTCCGGAAAGCTCGATGCCTGTGATTTTTGGGTGCCTTCGAATCAGCACTGGAAGGCCGTAACATCGGCGGAGCACCTGGCGAAGTTACGCAAATTCTATGCTTCCCGCACAGGGCAAACTC